CGCGGGCCGTTCGTCCCGAGGTCACCCCCACCTAGTGCTTTGAGATGGATGGGGGTGGGCCATCGCACGAGAGAGCTTTGACATTGGGGATGTAGATGAGCCCTCACGCAGGGTGGTAGTCTCGCCGGTCATTCCGTAGCACTGATTTTTTCGATTCTTAGTTATGTTCTTCAGTCAATTGCTCCCTCCAATACACAGGTAGTCCAAGGGTTCTTTGAGAGTTTCTCTTCTTTTGTGCGCAGGCGAAGCGTCATCCTTGCGCCGCGCACCATTTCCCTAAGCATTGCGATCCTACGGCATCATCGGGGCGCGACGTTACATTTCCTTTGGCAAGATGCCGTCCTTCCCCTCGCCTCTAAGCACCCCTCGGGTCCCGTAATTCACATTCAACTTATTGAAGCAGGCCCCTTAGTCTCTTCGGGGCCTTTATATGCATGTACTCACAACGTCACATTTCCTTTGGCAAGATTGCACTCCATTTCCTCATCCACACTCCAAATCTCAAACGCGAAGGTCATTTTCATGGGTTGGCTTTATGCTAAGGGTCCCATAGTCCCTTTGTCCCTCTTCCCTTTCCCTCTTGGTGCCCGGTTCCTCCCAGCCCTATCCCGCTTAAGGCATCCTTTGCCATCAATCACCTGCACAATCCCACACAAAGCAAAGATCCGTACAATCCCCCGTTGGGGGTCAACACATAGCCCTTCCCGCATGCCTATCATTCCATGCCCTTAGGCTGCTCTTTGTTCCCTTTTTCTTGCTCAATCAGCCCATCCTCTTCTCATAGTCATGCAGTCGGGGAGATGGTTGAGTCAAACTGACCTTGCTTTCACTTATACCTGTCTCTTATACACATCTAGATGTGTATAATGAAATGGCAAAGCTCATTGCGTCGTCAGCCATACACGAAGTGGCCATCAGGACTCGATCCCAATCTGTCTCTTATACACATCTAGATGTGTATAAGAGACAGGGGTAAGGCCATGCTCGTTGCATTGTAATAATTCATTCATGGTTGCTTTTAGTGCTGATGTACTTTTCCATTTCCTGTCGGGAAGGTTTAATAT